TTGGAGAGAAATAACTACGTCCATATTCCCAAATATTGTTTATAAATGTTCTTTTACATTTAAAGGGGGATATGATATAGATATGAATAATTTCATTGGTATGGATTTTAAGGTCAATTTTGTTATATGTATATATATTTCTGATCTTGACTGATGTATTGTGATTGTGTAGTTCATTTTAAAAATGTAATGTATAATTAGAAAATATAGGTTGTTAATGGATAATATCGATAATAATCAAGCTTGTAGTAATGTTAGTCTGATTTTCTAGAAGTGCACAGATATATTTCAGATAGACATTCATATCTTTTAAAGACTACAGAGCATGGCATTTAATGTTTTAATAACTTAGAACTTTTCATGACAATGAGACACGTCTGCTCCTGGCAGCACCAATCTACTTCAAGAGGAAGATGGGCATCGAAGAGGCTCCTTATGGAGTTGGTTAGCCATTTTGGGCAAGAAACTGCTCTTGCCTGGACTGTTGTATAAACTGGACACAGAGAACCCGCAGAGAGAGGACTGCTGAACTTGCCTAAAGGTGAGATGTTCTTTCGGGGTTCCTGATTCATGAAAGAGTCTGCGAGACATTCTGCAGGACACAGCAGATAGTGACTGAACTGCCTTTGAAATTTCCTGCTTCATGGAAATGTCTGCTGGATATTATGGGCCTAAAGGCCGAAAATGGATGCCCCAACGATACAGAGGAACTTTGGGTGACTGTCCAGGCAGCAAGATGTCTCTGTCATTTCTAGAGTTTTGGAAGTTGCTTACTTCTTGTTTACTTAGGTAATATATCCTTCTGGAGTCTTTGATGGAGTTGAAGAATGGATAGTCATAGTTATAGTTCTCCATTATTATGATAAAGATATAGTTATAAATATTGTGACTGTAATTCTTGCTTGATAACTGTTTTGTTATGTGTAATTTTACTATGTTAAAATGAAAGCCTTTCTTTTTTGTTTAAACAGAAAAAGGGGAAATGATGGAGGAGGGTTATCTGTCTATTGTGTTATTTTCATTGGTCAATAAAGAGATTGTCTTGGCCCTTTGATAGGACAGAAAATTAGGTAGGCGGAGTAAACAGAACAGAATGCTGGGGAGAGGGCAATAAGGCAGATGCCATGGAGCCAGCCACCAGGTCAGACATGCTGAATCTTTTCCGGTAAGCCACTACCTCGTGGTGCTACCACGAGATTATTAGAAATGGGTTAATATCAAGATATGAGAGCTAGTCAGTAACTAACTCTCTAGAGATAATGGGCCAGGCAGTGTTTAAATGAATATAACTTGTGTGTTATTATTTCTGGGGCTAAGCTAGCTGTGCGGGAGCCGGGCAGGATGAAAAGCAGGCCTGCCCGCAGCCCCTCACTACAGATTTTGGTAAGAACCTTGTTTTGTTGTATACCAGATGAACATGTGTGTTTCCAAGCAATCTTCATTATCAGTCTCACACACAATGGTACCTAGTAATCTTTTGGTGTGGAAAAAGTCTAGTAAAGTCTGGAGACAGACAGTCAGACAGACAGACACACACACACACACACACACACAGAGAGAGAGAGAGAGAGAGAGAGAGAGAGAGAGAGAGAGAGAAACAGACAGAGACAGAGACACAGAGTAAGAAAGTAACACTGAATATGTATATGTTAAAGGGGTGTGTGGCCCTTCTAAACTTGCACCGTCACCTACCTAAGTAATTTTCTTGGCTCTCTGAGTAAACTATATAAACCACCACCATTGTGATCTTAGATTTCACTTTTGTTGTCCAGCTCTTTCATGAATCTGCCTTTGATCAAACCTATTTGCTTTCAGAATAAATATATTTGTGATAGGACCTTAAATTTCACAGTATCCAAGTAATTAAAAACAGCAAATTATTAGTGCCCTGAAAATCTGTGGGCCCTTCATCTGTGAGAAAGTATGGGGTTCGTGAATCCATCCTTTAGTGGAGTACAAAACATTATTAATTGAAGAAATAAATTAGTTAGGAAAGAATTAGTCTGCACAGCAATTTAAAAAACCACCGGTAAAGGACAAGAGTTCCTACTTGAACAGTTACTGAGTTTGCTAGTAGCAAGTTGTTTTGATCAGCAAGAAACCAGTGAAGCTCCTTTCTCACAAGCATTTTCTCCTTACACAGCAAAAATGTGTATTGTAAATATTGTCATAAAGTTGTGCTCTGGTTTAAATTGAGCATATTTCCAGGAAGGAGAGTCCTCCAGAACACTTGTGAACTCTGGGGAAAATCACAGGAATATATGCACGTGGCCTGCAAGAAGGCTGTTGGAGAAAGGGTGGGCCTAATGGAATGCCACCAGTGCAATAAGGAGGCAGCCTTTGTGGCCAGATGCGTGCCCAGGAGAGAAGCATGGCTATGCACATCTGACCAGTCTCCATGGAATTGCTGTCAGTATCGAATGGAGTCACTAAATCTGGATGCCCCACCATGTTTGGCTTTCCTGTTTTTCTTTATCTAGATTCTTCTTGAAGTAAGTTCTATGAGGGTTTCATAACAATTATAGCCCATAAGGTTGGGAAGCTTGAGTAGTGTCCCTAAAAGTATCTTTCTCTTTGCAACTAAGACAATTGGAGATGAATATTATTTTATTTAAAATGAACTGCTTGTAGGGAAAAATCAGCGCTCAGCAAGTTCTTTAAGATATACCCAGTTTGCAACTGCTTCTGCTCCCAAAACACTGTCCTGCCTTCTCTGGAAATTAACCAGACAAACAGAGTGCACCCATGAGAATGGATGCTTCTTTTGAATCCCCTGTAGTTCACAGGAGAATGGCACCCATGGAGGCAGATTCCTTTTCCCCTCCCTGCGATGTTATGTAGTCATGTCTATTAAGCATAGTGGGATCTATACCTTTCATAATCCAAGTTCTCATCATTCTTCAAGCCCCTTTGCCATTTCTAAAATATTCCAGAAACTCCTACCTCTGGGAATTTATACTCTTGCCGTTTGGCAGGGAACTCCCTTCTACTTATGGCTTTCTTGGTTCTCATGCTACAGCCCTGTCTTGGTGGTATCTTCTCACACAGATCTTTATCATGTGTTCACTTCGAAACAGCGTCCTTCCTAATATGTCCTCTCTGTTTTCCTCTACAAATAAGAGTCAGTAGAATTCATTTTATAGATCAGGTTTAGATTCAAAGTAAACTGGAGCAGAAAGTACTAAGGTCTGTGTTGCCCTCTGACAGGTCGCCTTCTCTACCCCCATGTCTCCTATTATAGGGGAACGCTAATTACACAATACACCAACATTCAGAAATAATTATCCAAGTGTTTAGTTTACCCGGAACTCAGGGATGCTGCTTTTAACTTTATGGGGTTTAGCGAATAGGCAATGACTGTATCTTATATGTTTATTTTGGTTGATAGTGCTCTGTGTTCTACTTGTTCATCCCTTCCTACCTCCTAGGATCTTGAGCAAGAACTGATGTTTTTACAGTTTTTACATATCTTTTCCAGCTTGGCTTCTTTCACTTAGTAATGTGAGTCTTTTTTCCTTCCTTCCTTCCTTCCTTCCTTCCTTCCTCCCTCCCTCCCTCCCTCCCTCCCTCCCTCTCTCTCTCTCTCTCTCTCTCTCTCTCTCTCTCTTTCTTTTTGTCTCTCTCTCTCTTTCTTTCTTTCTTCATTCTTTTTTGAAAGCTCTCATATTTTGATGCAGACTAAAACCTTATTTTCTAGATTTACCATATCTTGTTTATTCACTTGTCTACTGGAGACATCTTCGTTTCTAGTTCTCCTGAAGAAGATACCACCATCTGACAGACTCTTCACTTGACTTACTAATTTGGAGCAATGTCTCCTGTCTCCCCAGCTCTAACATGACTTTCACGGTAGAGTAGCACTCAGCCAATGCACAGTGAATGACAAAAGTATGTCCAACAATAAGATAGCAGTAAAAGCATTTTCCAGAATGAATCGATTGTTTTCCATTCCATGCCACACCATGATATACAAAATATATTTCTAGTGTTGCAAATGTGAGAACGAAAAAAAACCTATTAAAGATCTATCTAAAATGATTGGCTCTGATCCTGGAATACAGTAAGGATCCTTCAGATACTTACTTTGTACAAAAGCATGTTATCTCCGTGAGAGAAGAGAGTCGTCTGTCTCACTCGTACAGTGCTTTGGGTGCCTGAGAATGATGCCTTTCATATGAGATTCTCCAACCACATTTGTTACATGGATGAGCAGTACATCTCAACTTAGAGGTTCCCCCTCTTCATTCCCTCTCTCTTTTCCTCTCTCTCTCTCTTCCTCCTCCCCCTCCTGCACTCCCTCCTTCCCTGGCTATATACTCTTGTCCACCCTCTACACTCTAGTGTATACTTTGAACTCATGATCCCTGATTCAGTTTCAAAAAGGCTTATGTTACAGACACACACATTCACTGCCACCCCTGGCCAAGATTTTTGTTTAATATTTTGACAAATTATCTCTCAAGGGGTATGCAATCATTTACTTTTGCAAGCACAGTTCAGCAGTGGAGTAAAGTTCAAGCACAACTGTAATTTGCTGCCACGATTTGAAAAATAAAAGTATTACATATTCTCTATGGACTTTACTGATATGCTGGCTAGAGCAACATACGGAGGAAAAATTCATCACTGTGAAAAATCTTTATAATTATATCACGTGGAGGGAGAACCTCTAGACAGAAAGAGAAATAGATGAGCAAGCCCTTAACTGTGGCTATGGCATTTGAAGGGCCAATGGCTATGTGTTTAATAATATCAGAGAAAAACCAAACAAAACTGTCCTCTTTTTAGAAGTGGCAGATGTGGAAAATCTCAGCAAGACATAAAATAAGATGACAGAGTTCTTTATTAGATGCATCCTCTTGTCCTGAACCAGAAGTTAAAACAAGAGGGCCTCTATCATGTTCAGGAAGCACAGAAGGATGTGTTCTGTGAAGGAAATATGTAACATCTTTTATGTATGCACATAACATACAGCAGGGAGGAAGTGCTGAGAAACTTACCCATCATTGTTAACATCTGATACCACCACTGTGTATCCGAAATAAGATGCCATCTGCAATACAATAATAATTTCTGTGTTCAGGAAGCCATGTTTATAGTCACCTCTTAATTATTCATGAGAAATGACTTGCACTGTGGTACATTTTTGCATTTAAATACATAGACCCCCTGAACTTGTTCCAAGTGTTCAAGTTATTTAGTCTAACCTCTGACCTAATGAATAATTCCTTCCACAATAACCCTGACATCTGCTTGCACAGCCTCTGGATACATTAGGCCCTTTTTATTGGTGGACACAGCTGTTAGGAAGGTCTTTGCCACTTGCAGATTTTCTGGGATATCTATCTACTGCTTTAACTTAGTTTAGCCATCCTGAACTCTGTGGAATTAACTCAACTCCACCATGTGTGGAGGATTTCAGGGCATTTTCAGATGCTGCACTGTCCGACACTGAGATTCCACACACAGACTCAAAGAACATATGGTACTCGTAAGTACAATGGGAGAAGAGCTCAGCAGGAATTGCATCACCTAGTTTGGCCTCTATATTATTATATCACAAAATAATTTTGATTTTAGGGAAATTCACAATTCATCAAATTATAGTGAGATCATACTTAATAAGACTCTTAAATCTTTTCAGTGAATGTAAATGCTATAAAATAGTCTCCCACAGTTTCCCTCAGAATTGTTTTTTAAGTAGTTTTATAATTCATTTCAGTCTGGCTCATCATTTCATCCTACCAATGTTCTTCGTGTGTGTATGTGTTTGTCTACATGTTCATGCGTGGATGCAGGTCCATGTGTATACACATGTGGGTGAGGTCAGATGTCAACAGTTGGGTGTCTTCTTTAACTGTTTATTGTATTTTTTAATTGTTTATTGTATTCTTTAATTCCTTATTGTATTTTTTTGAGACAGACCCGTACCAAATCTGGAGTTGACTAATTAGGTTAAACTGTCTTGGCAGCATTTTCTTTTCTCTGGTTCCCCAGAAGTGGAGTTATAGGCTTTTACCATTGTGCTCCCCTCCCCTGAATGGGTACAGGAAATAGAAAATCAGATGCTCTTGCTTGCAGCACAAGCATCTTACCAAACACTCTAGTTTCATTTTTGTTTCTTTAGTCTGAAATCTGATATTTTAGCTGATTTAACCTCCCACCATCCACCAAGTTACTGAAAATACAGCCCACAAGAAACTATGTGCCAAGGACGACAGACTTCAGTCTGTATCGAGCTTTCTCCTTCCTGCATTGCCTGAGCAATGTGTGGACCAGAATGTACTCCATTATGATATAAAAATCCCTCCAGAAGGACTGCTCCAAATTTCCCAACCCACCCACCTTCACTCTCACCCCAACCTCATTTATCCTACCACCCAACAAAGTTCCAGGAGAGGAATGGAATCCCTTTTTGAAAATTTTATAGCAATGGGTATCTGAGCCCTCAAATTTTGACAACATAGTATGAAAAGCTCCTTTTATCTATTTGAAACCCTTCCTAATTGATTCTCTGGACATGGCTCATCTACAGGGAAGGGTTACCTTCAGTGCTTAAAAAAAAGTGGAAAATTTCACCAGGTCACAATACCAAGAGAAACAAAGGAATCAGAACATATTTGGTTGGGAAGGTGGTAGCATCCTGTATTCAGGCCATTGAACATTTCAGAAGAGGATCTCAGTGAAGGACAGGGTATAGGGACACAAGATAGCAGTGTTTCAGGACTGTATATAAAGTTGAGGCTCAGAGAAAGGCTTTGGGTATAGTGAGGAAGAGAAGCAGAAGCCAGACACATCTCCTCTGGTCAATAGGGTAGGCCCTGGGAGCAGCAGGTCTCCTGTCACAGGGAAGTAGGTTCTGAGAGCTTGGGTACTTTGAACACCATTTGCAATAGAATGAGATTGTTCTGCCTTCTCATTATCTGGTGACTTTTTGCTTTTGATCCTTACAGTCTGCTGCGCTATAGAAACCTGACTTATTGGCTAGCAATGAGGGAAGCTACGAATCCTAAATACTAAATGCATCCAGTGATTCTTTCCCTCCTGAAGTCCTTGACAATCCACATGGAGAAGAAAGAAACCCAACTTGAATTTCTTCATGTGTTAGTCTTCTTCCAGGAATTTCTGGATTAAAAGGGAGGTTTTTGATTTGTTCTCTTCAGCATCCCTCCAATACACACACACACACACACACACACACACGAACACATGCATACATACCGATTCAAACACACCATTGACAGGGAGCTCTCTCCTTCTTTGAGGACTTTCAGGAATTGACATCAAATGGTCTCTTTGCCATTCCCAGCTATTCCCAGCATTCAATGCCAGCTATACCTGCATTTGTCACTTATCACTAGTAAGTACTTAGCCACCTCATTAAGACCCTAGTCTTAAAGGTTTTGTTTCGATTTTCTCTTTTTTCTTTTCTTTTCTGTCTCTTTTCTTCTTTTTTTTTTGAGAGACAGCAAGAGAGAGAGAGAGAGAGAAAGAGAGAGAGAGAGAGAGCATGAAGTTGGGTAGGTAAGGAGGTGAGGAGAACTAGGGAAAGAGGGAGGGGAAGAAATATGATAAAATATATGAAAAATTAAAATAATAAACAAACAATTCTCTCTTTTAAAAAAGACTCTGGGCTATTCCTTCCATGACTTGAATTAAGTCTTAGTCTTAAATGTATTATATAGTGGTCAAGGGGTTATTCTGACAAAATATAAAGTCCTTTCTCTGCTACCAAGAGGTTCCCTGTGGCTTGCCTTTATTATACCTTGAAAGACCAGAGCTCATGCTGGGCCTGGTGGTTCATGCTTGTAGTCCAAGCATATGAGAGGCAGAGGAAAGGGGAGTATGAGTTACATAGTGAGACTATCAAAAGAAATAAGAACTAGGGTTATCTCAGATAGAGCCCATAGATAATGTGTACAAGAACCTGTGTTTCCACCCCAGCACCACAAAGACATAAAAAGAGCTCAATTCAGGTAGCTAGTATTAGCTTCACAATGTGCACTTAATTTTGTAAGTGGATATGGCAAAAAAGGAAACCCTTAAAACTAGAAGATTCTGGACTAGAGCTTGTAGTAGATGTCATGCCTTTTACCAGAACCCTTAGTTCTGACTTATTTCTTGCTTACTTATAGCAACTGCATCCCTGAGAAACGTCAGATTTACCCAACTAGTTCCTGTGTGAAAGCCTTCGTGTTCTCTGCCACTGGCTTTGCTTAGGCATTTCTGCTGTAGAGGTCTCCAGTCTTTGTACCACCTCCACCATAGTATATAATTCTATGCCATATTCTTCAAACCACTATCTGAAGCTGAGTCAATTGAGGTGCACCATTATATCCAGTGTTCATTATTTCCTGAATGAATGACTACATGATATGAACATTAGTTGTTTTGCATGATACTAATAAAACACAAATCAAAGGCAGAGGCACCTAGTTTTAAACAAGATCCTACTTTCTCTGTCTCTATTCATTTCTTATTAAATGATTCTGGGGAACCATCACCATTATATTTGGAGACTTTGGTACTCTTGATTAAGGCATACTTATGACTGAATTAAAAATAGTATTAGTATTATTAGTCAATAAGCTAAATGCTATATTAATTTGTCTATTTAAAATATAAAACATTAAAATCAAACACTATTTAAAAAAATGTCTTTCCCTAAGGCTGGATATGGTGGTGAACATCCATAATCCCAGTACTTGGGAGAGCGAGGCAGGAAGACTGCAGTAAGTTCAAGACCAATGTGGGCTCCACAGTGAATTCCAAGATAGTTTGAATGAGGCTCTCTCTCAAGACAACAACAACTGAAAAGTCTTTACCTGCTCACCAGTAAAATTCTGAATGAAGGTCATATCTGTGGAGTTAATGATGGAGACCTGAAATTGCAAAAGCAAGACAATACATCAGCTCACAGAATTGGAGAAACCGTTTTTAAACAATTGAAACTTAAATCACTTAAAATTCTTATGAAGTGTAATAGTTGATTAGCCATTTGTAGAAGGTGCAAAATTGTAGGCCCCCCAAGAATAATTTTAGAAAAAGACAATGGAACTTGCTTATGATTCTAAAAAGGGAAATAGGTAAATGCAAGGATATGGGCAACAGTTAGCATGTTGGTCAGTTAATTTGTCTTATCTTCATTTTGTTCTAAACAAATATCTATGCTTATGCTATTATGAGGACTGATAAATGGCTCTTTGGGAAAATAACCTTTCTTAATGCTATCCACATAGAATAATGTCACCTTTAATTCTATTTAGCCAAACACATACCTACAAACTGTATATTGTCTAGATCTTATTTTATTTTAATTTATTTTTTGATACAGGGATTCACTTAGAACATAAACTGATCTGGAACTTCCTATGTAAGTCAGATTGACCCCAGACTCTGGATTCTTCTGACTTATCAACCTCTTGGGTGATAGAATAATAGCACCACCATGCCCACCTTAGGTCTTCTTGCTTCCACAGTGAGCACTTAACTAACTGAGCTATCTCTCTCATCCTGTGAGCCATTTTTGTGTGGCCTCTTTCTATGTATCTTTTTTCTAACTTCATGGTAACCAGTTATGAGGGTCTTAAGTATTATCCTCTCAAACCTGACACTTCAGAATGTGCGCTTATTTTCCAGTACCTTTGTAGAGGAATAAGTTAGGGACTTGGAGAAAAGTTTGCCCTTTGGGTAGCTTTTGTGAAAGGAGAAAATACAAATACAGAAGGAGTTTTTCTATGTTTTGGATAAGGGTGACTCTTTGCAAAAAAATGCACCCCACATTTTTGTTTCACATGGATCCCCAGAAATCATGCATCAATATAGTTGCATTTACCTCCTGTTGGGATGAGCAGGGAAATAGAACACTTCTGTGGTAGGAGCTCATTAGTAAAGAGCATTTACAGTGGCTTACATGGTAAAAATATTTCAGTGCACAAGGAACATGTCTGGGCTATACATTGATACTCACGTATCCAAAGTTCTGTGCTCCTCTTGGAATCCCAGCAACCAATTCTGGGGATAAGAAGAGTCATTTAGAGGGGGAGCCACATTAATTGATTAATTAGTGTGCTTATATATGTGTATTCATGTGTATGGGTTGCACATGTAAGCAGGCATCAAAAGGCCAGAGTAGAACCTTAGGTGTTTTTCCCTCAGGAGACATCCACCTTGTATTTTTGAGACAAAGTCTTTCACTGGAACTTGGAGCTTATGAAATGATTTTGCCTATGTGGCTGACTGGTGAGCCACAGAGATCTGCCTGCTTCTGCCTCCCCAGCTCTGGAATTAGAAGCACAAGCCATCACATTGTGTGTGGTAGATGGCTTCTGAGGCTCTAACTCAGGTCTTTACGCTTGCATGCATTGTTTACCAATTGAGTCATCTATCAGCTCCCAGTGTATTTAAAGCTACTTAGCAGTCAAGTGGAAAGATGATGGTGCCTTGTAAATGAATGGTAGAGAGGGTAAAGATGGGGCCATGGAGATGAGTGATGGAGAGGGTCACAAGCTGGAAATCGGTTTTGTTTGCAGTTGATTTCTTCCCGATGTTTCTTTACAGGTGAGAGAAAACAAACAAACTAGACAGCATGCTCCTCTGTCTTTTAGGACATCCTCCTGTCTTTGCAGGTCCTCTGCCTATTAGGACATCCTCCTGTCTTTGCAGGTCCTCTGCCTATTAGGATATCCTCCTGTCTTTGCAGGTCAGTGTGTGATTGAAACGTCACAGAGGCTTTGCTAACTTCCACTTTGGGGACATCTTTTATACTGCCACAAAGATACATCCTTAGAAGTTCAATTATGATGAGGCCCCTTTGTGAACCAATTGCTGATCAAGGATTTCAAGTTAGGAATTTATGTTTAAAGTTCATAGAATTATTTTTTTCTCCTCATTCTTCTTTGTCTTGTTATTTATCTTGTGGTGTAGGAGGGTCTTCTTTCTATGTGTTGCTTTCATTGGTTGAATAAAGAAAAATGGCTTGGCCTTTTGATAGGGCAGCCCTTAGGTGGGTGGAGTAGACAGAACAGAATGCTGGGAAGAAGGGAAGTGTGGCAGATGGCATGATTCTCCTGCCCAAGATAGACGCTGGTTAGACTTATGCCAATAAGCCATAGTCAAGTGGCGATACACTGTTTTGCCTTGAATGTAGCATGCATTTTTATACAAAATTCAAAATGATCATTCAGGCCCCATAGCATTAATGTTATTCAGATGTAAAAGCAAACAGGAATCAGAGAGGTTGTAGCACTCTAAAAAATACTGTTAGTCAGGTCAGAATTTAAAATTGATTCAAATTCTTACTCTCATGTGTAGGAAGCCACCTGGAGGCACAGGTGGTCCTGCAGTTTGGAGGTATACAAGCCCATACCTGGCTTAGCCACGTGAGGCTGAGCACCCTTGCTTGCACATGCTCAGAACAGCAGAATGGCATTAACCAATCAGGACAGCGTTCAAGCCTCTCCACCGTTTAAAAGCAGCTGCCTCTGGGCTCTACTCGCTCTCTCTAAGCTTTCTCTTGTCCCTGCTCTATCTTCCCTTCCCCCAATTTTCCTCAATCAAATGCTCCGAATAAAGACGTGACCAGGGAAGGAATTCTCGTTTTTAGTGGCGTTCATTCCTGCTGGTCAGGATGCGCGTCGCACTCATGCTATTTATTTTATGAGTCTTTATGAAAAGAATATTGTCTAGTCTCTAGAATCAAGGCAAATTACAGTGAGACTTAGATTCAAGAAGACAGACATGAACATAAATATATTATCAAAACATTCCTTCCAAGAAAATTTACACAAAATAACCAGTGTGGTTCTCTTCACTTTGTTTTTGTTTTGTTTAGATTGTATTTGCTCCTCTGCTTAAATCTTCTATGATATCTCTTCCTATAATTTTGGAGCTTTATGATCCATAAGATTCAGTATGAGCTGATCCTACCTCCCTTTCTCTACCCCAGTCCCGTTAACCATCAAAGTATAAAAGTCTGGCCAAGCTGATGAATTTCCTAACTACTTCAATTTTTTATACAACTTGGCTTGTAGAAATCTCCCCCATGTCTGCACTGGTAGCTACCTCATTTCCACAGTCCTTTACTCTCTATGCTTAATGCTAATCACTAGTGCTAATCACAATTTTTAGTCAGGTGTTCTGTCTGTCAGACCCAGTATAGTGTAATCTCTGAGATTAAAGACAATTTGTTTACACATACACACATATGTATGTATGTATGTATTCCATCTATGTAAATTCTTGTGTAGCAAAGAAAATCAATAACATTTACAATAAGACTTCTTATGCCATTTGCCATTACTCCACACTTTTAAAATGACAAGTTTAACAATGTCTCTCACCTTGCTGAGAGTCCCCAGTGAATTCTCCAGCAGCAACTGAATAGCCTGTATTGAATAAAAAAAGAAAAAAACAAATTGCATTTGGAAAGAAATGAGTTGTATTTAGAAAACAATGAAAGTGCTATCATGGTACTATTTTATTTCAAAACCTCTACAAATATCTAAAAAATTAAGGACTCATTAAGAGGAAAAAATAATCACAGAAATAGTAATACTTTCAGACTAAGTCCTAGTTATAAATGTCTACCATACAGATCTTAAATAAAAACATGACCAAAAAAAAAAGTAAGTCATATTCTTAGATCAGCCTTCAAACCCCTATAAGGGGGAGTGGCGGCTGTTGCATTTCAAAAGCTGCAAGTTCATCACTATCAAGCACAATTCCTGTGAGACATCCTTCGTGTTCAGGTCTTCCTGTTGATCATCATGATGAACTACTTCTTAATTCCTTTCATGACTGCAGCCCACAGATGTCACTGAGCTCAAAAGCAAGATTCCATTTACATTGACAAAACAAAGGCATAATTTAACAGTGCATAAATCAATCAAAATTGGTTGGACACCAAAAGCAGGTATCAGTAATAGTAGAAGGATATTATATAGCTTGCACATGATATGATTCAAAAACAATCTTACATCTAGAAAGATTCTTTTTGGTTTTGTAGAAACTGGACAGACCTGCTATCACATTGCCCATAGCACGGGCAGAAGCCCTGCTAATACAAATGTCTTCTTCCAGGGATCTTTCATGAGAATGTTAAAGCACCTATAAAATAGCAGTCCGGGTCATGTATGGTATATATGCTATCTGGGGAAAAAAAACCCAACAGGTTGTGCTGAAAAAGAAGATGTAAGGGTCTATTCATAATAATAAGAAAGAAAACTTTCAAAAGATGTCAGCTAATATCAGATAAATCAGGACCAAACATTTCATGTATATTTAATTTGCTTGCCTCGTGAGAAAGTATAAATACCTGGAGCAATGGTTCTTACCAAGGTAGCTGTCATCGTAGGAAGCTGGAGCCACATCTGTTTGCTTTTCTCCTGCCAGCTTTCTTAGAATATCCTTAAATGAGTAATTTGCAATGATATCCGCTATGCTGGCAGTGATCACCTGACCTGTGCGTGAACAAAGTAATACATGAACTAGACGGATGCAAGGGAGAGGCAGGCTCTTACTCGGCAATCCTGGAACCATACCACACACTCCTGAATGTCCACCCCAAGAACTGTCAGGCAGAGGTTAGCTATAACTGAGTGGGTAGAACTTTCCAATCTAGTGGAGGCCAGAGATAAAAAAGGCAATGTTTTATCCATTTTTCCTTGACTTCTAATGTATATCCCCTCTCAACCTTCAAATGATAAAAGCATGAAAGAATAAGGAAACTTACAACTGTAATTTGTATTTAAATTTGCATTTTAGAGTTGAGGGTGGAGTTCATTTCATAGGCTGCCTGCTTAGCATGCATTGGGCTCAATCCCCAGCTCAGTATGAAACTGAGCAGGGAGATGATACATGCCTCTAATCCCAGCACTTCGGTAGTAGACGCAGAAGCATCAGAAGTTCAAGATCATCCTGGGCTATGCAATGGGTTTGAGTTCTGGCAGGGCTGCATGAGACCTTGTCTCAAAAGCAAACAGCAACAACAAAACAAAACAATAATGCTCAAGCCAGGAGGAAATTTATCGTCAACCAATCATACATAAATGTCTTATGCTCAAAGAACTTGATGCCATTCTGCAAAGTCACATAGTTTTGCTAGTGGTTATAGAACTGAAGTCTCCTTTGCATTCCAATAAGAAGTTTTGTTTCCTTGCAAAGAACATACGCGGAATTCTCTTACTTGACAAATTGTAAAGATCTCAGTTAAGTTAAAGGAAGGACTTAATATATCTGAGAGACATTTACATTTATTGCAAAACTATATAAAGGAAACATAAAATTATGCTAGTAGAAAGAAGCTGTGTCCAATGAGATCTAAAATTTCACACACAAAAAAGATATTCATGGCCACCAACATTGATAAGAACATTGGCTCCCAAAGCCACTTTCAGGAGTCTTAAGATATGATTTTATTGGGACACTCAAATATCTAAAATACATCATCATATGGAAAAGTCTATGCACTTGAATATTTAGTGTGGATATCTAAAGCAAAAATGTTATCTCATGCCCTTTGAGACAAGATGGAAAAATGCTTTTGAAAGCATGATGCTTAACATCCAATCTAAAGCTACATTATTCTTTGGGAATTCCCAGTCTTTTGGGTCCAAGAAAAAAATAAAATCCCGTCAAACCAGGTTGTAAATATTTCTGAGTAATGGGGACAAATGAATGCTTTGATATCAAGACAATGAGATTTACACACTAATTTACGAAGAATGTCAAATTTGCCAGTTTTCTCTGACTTTCTGCTCTGCATTCCCTTTCCTTCCTCCCACATCTGGACAATTTCTTGTTTTTGTTAGCTAGGTCCATAAACATCTTAAGCATCTATAAGATTTTAAATTCTGCATCTCAGATAAGTTTTTCTGTATTCTTACATGACTATTAATTCATGTGAGATTTTTTTCTACTTTAAATGAAGGAATTAATTGACCAATTAATTAACCAACATGAAATTAATTAAGATTAGAGAAAAATATGTATATACATAAAAATAATTTTCGGTTTACATCTATCCCTGACCCCGACTCAAGGCCACAAGTCAGTGTGTGCTAGCACAGCTCCCACAAACAAGCCTCCTGTCTGTGCTCTCAGTACGACGTCTCCAGCACCTATCGCAAAGCCTGGCATAACCTCAGTTAATTCTTGGCAGAACAATGACACTTCAGAAACATCATTTGGACAATGAAGTGCAAAGTGCAATGATGCTTCAGTCAAGAAAGTGTGAGCAGAGGTTTCCATTGTCACCAGAAAAGGTCAGCGTTTGGTGCTACTTCTGTTTCCCTGTGTTAGTAACAACATGCATGCTTTTCTCTGATACGGAACATACCTTGCCAGTAAAAGCTTCCGGGTCCTCCCACTATGAGGTCTCCATTCTGCAAAACAGAAGCATCCAGAGAACTCGTGGGCAAGAAGGCAAGTGTTTTAAAAAGCGTTGAGTCACTGTTGATAAGCATGCTCCAACAGCTTATTCCTCACAAAACCACACTTTCTTAAAGAGGACTTTAAACCACACTTTCCTTATACCTGAGGCCTGGAGGTTGTTTTCTTCTCTTCTCTGCTTTCAATTATTTAATTTGTTATGTTAAATAATTTTAGTTTGACTCAGGCATGTTCACCTTGCTCTCTTGAGAGCATACAATTTTGGGGAAAGGGCTGTCACTGCTGGAGCTGAGCAAGGCCTGCACATTAAGTTTGCAGTTAAATGGGCATTGTCTTTTATAAGCTTTAGTGACAAGAACTTAATTTCAGTTATTTTCAAGGCAACAATGATGTCTGGTAATGTCTATATTACCAGCAAGATGGCTCTGCGGGCAAAGCTGCTTGCCATCAAGCCCGGCAATCTGAATTAGATTCTTACAACTCACATGGAAGAAGGAGAGAACTGAGCCCCCAGGTTTGTCTTCTGAGCTCCTCACACTCTAAACAGCACTTCTCTCCAATAAGTAAAGAAATGTAAAATCATATTTTTAAAAAATCTTTAAACCCACCCCCTTTTCAAAAGAGAAAGCAAAAACTCCAGATTAGCAAGTGCAAGCAGCCCTGTTCTCTAGCTTCTGTCTGTAACTTGCAGGAGAAAAATAGCAAAGTAAACAATCATAGAAAATGCAATGAACCAATAGTTAAACAGATAATATGTTTATGGAATTTCTCTGTGTTAATTTTAAAAGCATAGAGTCATTTTCTTCATATATGCATCAAATGCTCTCCGCTTACTGAATGAATATATACATTTTAATATGAATATGAAATCAAAGCAGCCAATTTCAGCTAAGTGATAAAGTGATTGAATTATAGGTTTTTGTAGCTTTTTAGAAACGCATTTTTGAGATTTGCATTCAAAATGATTAATGCTGGGAGTGGGAGGGAAGAGGCCCTTCATCCTGGATGCTTTTCCATACTATTATCATGTTCATAGATTTCAACAGAAATAAGAAGTGAGTAGGGAAAAAACAAAAGTACTCGAGGAGAAGTTGCCAGACATGAACGGCTCCCAAAGCATCTCTGGCTGTTATTGTTTGGGGAATGGGTATGGGAATGACAGACAGAAAATTAAACAGTGGCCACAATGACAGGAAAATTCATCCAACCACAGAGGCTGAGAGAGCAAAAGAGTCACCTTATAGAAGTCCAGACTAAAGCCTGCTTGGCAGTAACCTTGGCCTTCAGGATCAGCATTGCCTGGAATGGTCAAAACAAATACCCGCTATAATATCATTATTTCGGAGAAGTATTTTAATAAGCAATATAGATCATTTTTTTGCTTTCCCCATATACCCCTGAATCAAAGAGACCAATTGGTGTTTTATTTTTTAAATGCATTTCAGGCAATCTTAATTACATTTCCATCTATTTTCTGATCCTGATGATCACATCCATGCAGCAGTGAGATCAACTTGAGGGTTTATGACATTAGGCCTACTGAGCACAGGGCACACAAGACCTTCTCCAGCTAGGGAACACGTCAAAGTATGGGTTTGCACTAGTGTGCATATTCAGATTCATTTCCAAGATAAAACCGCCATCTTCTGATTGTGTCCCCAAATGTCTATGTCTCCTTCGCCCACTCCTGATGTGTCTGCCATTTCTACAGCGACAACTTGCGAAGGTCACCCAAGTGCATGCTTTCTGCAGAGAAACTGGTAAAGATTTCCTTTACTTCTTCATGAGGCTGGCCTCATTCTCTCTATGTCGCTGAAGATGAGCTTGCACTTCTGAACCTCCTGCCTCTACCTCCTGAATGCTGAAATCACAAGCGTCAAGTATTCCATCCCATTGGTGTAGTGGTAGGACCCAAGCCCGGGCGTCACGACTGCTCCACGAGGTCTCCACCCACTGAGCTGCATCTCCAGCTCTTACTACCATCTCACGCTCTTTAATAGGAACATGATTTTAAATTGTTATACTGTGACAAGTGAGGATAATTTGAAAACTGTGTTTCTGATTCTCATGGTCTCACGGGGGCATTGCAATGCTAATGTTCGCAGAAGCAAAACCCTCCAATAATGGTTTGTTTTGTATTCTCTATACTAACTGAAGACCCAGGGGAATCACGTCACACATTTTTATAAACTATGGGCTTTATAATATATATATGGACTCCAAGGAAATTGTTGTTCAACTCTGTAGCACATTAAGATCATAAATTTACTTCCTACAACCTATACTTTGAAAGAGGCACTTTAACATACTTGAATTATAGTCAAAATGTAGTAAAGGAGAGTGGGACCTCTCCTTTATCTCAGTTAGATGGGAGCATGCTAATGATTCCATGTTTCTTACTGAGGATATCATTTAACTGATCCTTCAGTGAGAGAGAGAAAGGAGCCAGCACCACTGTAGGACATTCCGATAGGCTGGGCATGCCTCTGTTCCTGAGTATCTTTCAAATGCACCTGGTTCTTCTGGCTTTCTAGAACCTTACCCATTTTCTTTCTTCCAACCAGTTCATAGCTCTCTTTTCTCCTATTGTTTCTGTGCAGAAACCCCTCCTTTCTGTTTGTCAGTTGAAACAATATTTCATGCAGCCCAGGTTGCCTTGGAGGCTTCCATGTAGCAGAATGGCCCTGAACTCCCATTCTTCCTGGTTCTACCTCAGAGTCAAAATTACAGGCAGGAATCACTACACTTAATCTTACTCCCTTTATGTTTAAAACACCTTACTACCCAATACAGTGTCTTTCACCAAATTCCTTTTTTCCTTCACAACTGTATGTCAATGTCTTTCACCAAATTCGTTCTTTCTTTTACAAGTGTATGCTAGGATTGATGGTTATGAATTTTATAAGGTTCCCTAAAATCACATCTATATAACCTCAATTTATGGGGTTCTAATTTTCTAGAAGTTCTATGCTATAAAATTTCTACCCATCCAGAAATATACATTACTGTATGATTTAGTCTATGTGAACCCATGTAGATTGTGTTGATTATATTTAAGGAATGATTTATAAACACACAAACCTTCTTTAAAATCTACTTTTGAAATTGGTCCTTTATTTTTCATAAAGTAAATTATTCAGAAGGGAAGAAACCTGAACCATTCTTTACTTTCAAACAGGACACTGAAATTTTTTTTTTAAATCCCTAGCTGAAAACAGGTCATTGAGAAAATAATCAACTCCCAGTGTTTGTTTGGAGTGGCAATTAGAGAAGAGCGGGGGTTCTTTGCTCAGTAAGTCTCTTTCCCTTTTCTCACTTAATTGTAATTTATGAGACCCAAAGGAGTCTTTCTTCCTGGAACCTCAGAGTGTCTCTAAACAGTATGCCCCAGTATAACTCAGGGACCCAGGGACACGTTCATTCACTGCCGATGGTTAACTGCTAAAGTGAAACTGAAGGGCCGTGAGAACTGCCCCCACCTGAATTATGAATGACCATAAGAGCAGACGGCTCGCCATTCAGATAAACGAGCAGGCTGCTCCCCGTACCGCGCAGGGTGCCCCCTGGATCTGTGTTATAGGAGCAAAGCAAGACACTTCCTTCAGTTCCTGTTTGAAAAGGATATTGCTGATAGTCCCTGTCTGTGATAGTGACCGTATGCTCATGAACAAGCTGGCTTTGTGTTCGTGTACTGTGAACTTCTCACCATGACAGGAAGCCTGCATTTTGGGTGATCTGGAGATGAGGAAGTGTGAGGGTATGTTTTAAAGGCCTTGGTGTGCCCTAGAGCTAAATGTTTCCTAACGAACTATTCCACAGCTCCACCTAAGCTCCATTTCATATCGGCTCTGCATATTTCTGCCTGGGAAAATAAAAAATAAACAGGCATGGTGATGTACCCACAGAACTCAAAACTCTTGGACACTATAAATGATACTTTTAGAAAATAGTTTAAGCACATGCTGAAACAGGCACCCAGCAGGTTGAGATTCTGTGGGCTATGACTTAGCCCAGGCTCTCAGGTCACAAGGACTTAAAACATGAGGACAGAGTGAGACACAGTGACACGTTTTACAAGTAAACTTCATGATAGCCGGAAGAGTCTAAGTCATCAGGGCCACTGGGTAAATGGACATTGTTTGCTGTTGTGAGGGAACCTCCAGCAAAGCCTAGAGAACAGGATACACACAGATGGAAGCCTTACTGAGAAGCCTAGCATTGAATCTCTTTAGTGCAATAATACTGGCCACTTATCTAGTTTGGATTATGGCCACTTCCTGGCTGTTACCAGCGTTGATAATTCCTCCTTTCCCCACTCTCAATGACCTCTGCTGGAGAATCTTTCCTGTTACCCTTTCTGAAGACTTTCTCTTCTCTGTGTTCCTCCAGACTCCGGTCATTTCTTTACCTTTTCCATTGACTTTAGACCTAGTTATTCACTTATATAACATTTTACTACTCGATATTGTGTTATGAATTTAGTTTGGTTTCTTCCCTCTCTTTCCTACCAGAATGCCCATTCTTTGGATGTTGTTGGTTTGCTTTCTCTTGCTCCTTGACACACCCACTCCCTGCATATAGAATAGTTGGTGCCAATGTGTTCAGTAAACCTGTGTTAAATGAATAATGGAGTCTCATTCTCAACAAAGAACATTCATTTTAAAGCTGTTTAAGACCATGTCTTTAATCTCAGGTCATTCTTCCAGCTCACACGTAGGAAATCATACTCCATTTCCTGCCAAAACCCTCACAAGAAACTCGGGTTTAGAAAGTTCAGGTTTGGTTTGGAGCTATAAATCCCAGTGGCTTCTTTATTAACCCTTTAATAAAGGGTTAATTTTAATAAAGGGTTATAAGTCCCTCATCCAGTCTTTGCCTTCACTGTTTTATCCTGATATTTGCTTACTGTCTTCCCCAAATTGATCTTGAATCAAAAAATATATTAATAAGTATGCGAAAGAGGAAAATTTTACTTGTACTTTTTAGGACAATCTCTAATAACTTCAGAGGGAGTCTTTAAAAATTTAGTATTCTAAAATAAGTTACTCTAATATTCTTTGCATTGATATTTTCCTCTTTACAGCGTGTTCCCATTAATTAGAAGAAGAAGAATAGAAGTCCCTTTGTTGTTTCTCCACATCTCACAATGATCTATCAAAAACTTAGAGAAATAAAACTTACAAAACAATTCTGAGCAGATAATTGGTAATCACACTATTAGTCACGACATGATAATTCAGTGTCAGGATCCCTAAGGAAAATATTTGCTTTGAAAGAAACATTGCGATGATGTGGTGGTATATGCTTGCTTTCAGCACTTGGGACGCTGAGGCAGGAGAATAAGTAACTTGAGGTCAGCCTGTTCTCAAGCCAACACAAGAGATATAGAAAGGATGCCGTCCAGGAAGAACCCTAGAACTACTAGATGAGATCTGGACTCAAAATAGATGGAGTCTTCTGAGAATATAGAGGATTCAACATTTTAAGCATTTAACAAGTACACAATTACCAAACAAAACAACCACCATTAAGAATGAAGGCTACACAATGCTGCAGCCAGAAATTACTCCAGACCGGTCATCCTGATACTAACATGCTTTCATTAACAAGTTGGCCAGTCAGCATCCTGTAGAACACAAAGTGGAGATTTTCCACAGAAATTGTCAGCTAAGGGTCACAGTTATTCTACCAAATACTATCTAGAACTGACTTTCAAATGCAGAAGAGTCAGCAACATAGCTCATATGTGGATGCTTATTGCTAAAGGTGGTGATCCAAGACTCACATAGTGGAGAGAACCAACTCTTTATTGTCCAACTTCTATACATGTGCTGTGGCGTGTATGCTGCACATACACACAAAATAAATAAATTTAATAAAAAATAAATAAATTGTGGTTGTTTGAATGAGAATGGCTCCCATAGGCTTATATATTTGAATGTTTGGTCCTCTGTTAGTGGAACTGTGAAGGACTAGGAGGTGTGGCCTTCTTGGAGGAGTTACGTCACTGGGGGCAGGCTTTGAGGTTTCAAACCAAAGCATTCTGGGAGCTCTCACTCTCTCTGCCTCCTTTGGGGATCAGCTGTCATCTCTCGGCTACTGCTCCAGCACCATGTCTTCCTGCCTGATGCCGTGCTCTCCACCATGATGATCATAGACTCATCCTCTGAAACTATAAGTCCTAATAAACTCTTTTCTCCTCTAAGTTAGTCATGGTGTCTTATTACAGCAATATAAAGTAAGACAGGCATAAATAAATATAGACTAGATGAGCAGAAATCTGAATCGCGATATCATCTCCCACAGCTGTCAAGCCTGGAGGCCTTTGAACTAAATTTTACTTTCAAGGAATAAGAACAACTTACTGTTGCGGCAAGGAGAGTGCTCAGCATAAGCACTGAAGTTCTGAATCGCTACATAGCATGTGCCAACAGGGTCCTTTGCTGGGTTAGGTTTCAGAGTTCTCCAGTGGTACAAAGGGGCACAGGCCTGTGGATACCAAAGGCAAGAGACACAGTATTGGTGCAGGTTTCTCAGATAGTGGCTTGATTTGAATTGCTAACTAGTATAACTAAAGTTATAGGTAATTGTATTAAATTGTTAAGTGAACTAATTGGCCTTCAACTAGTTTTTAATATTAGCTCATTGAAAAATTATAAAAAAAAACTATATATAACCAAAGGGATGATCCTATTCTATCGCAGAATTTTTAATTAAATAAAAAGAAAATGGTGGTGCACGCCTTTAAACCCAGTACTTGGGAGGCAGAGGCAGGTGGATTTCTGTGAGTTCCAGGCCAGCCTGGTCTACAAAGTAAGTTCCAGGATGGCCAGGACTGTTATACAGAGAACCAATAAGGAAAAAAGAGAAGAAGAAAAAAAGAAAATTATTTCCTAAAAGTCAAAACTTCACATTTCCTATTCATTCCTTTAAAAAAAAGTCTTTGTAACAGCAAATAACATTCAAACATTGAATGAATTAACACTATGTCCTAAAATAACTCATCCCTTCCATTGTCTGGTCATTATTTTTAAAAACGGCTCTCAAATCAACAGATTCATGCAGGTTTATGAATCTCCATTTTTGTGGACTGCCATGGTTTATCTCTGAAGCTGACTTCTGACTTTTAAGCAATGATTGCCATACAGGTGGGCTACCTCCTTATCACAGCATTTTACTAGTTCCGATGTCATGGTTTTTATTCATGAAAACACTGTAGATCAAAGAGCATTGAGGATCAGCAAGCATTCAAAGAGCTCATGCTAATGACAGACAACACGTTTCTAAGGTATTCTGACCACTACTCTGATTCTACTTGTTTTGGAGAAACGTATTCTGATAAACTCCGGTGACCACAGATAACCTTCTTAATGGAGATGAACTACCCAGTCATCCCATAAATATATGTTCAATTCTAAAATGCCAAAACCCTGCAGGATATAAATAAACCATTCCGTGATTATTTCCAGGTAAAATACAGAGCAGGAGTTTGGAGAAGAATGCACACGATGCAGACATGCGCTCACACATTATTTAACTTCCAGCCACACTAAACATGGAGCTTTGCATGTAAAATCTCCCTAATAAATAAATGTATGCTAAATGAAATTAAATCCATGTCCTTTAGATAGAAGTTGAAAAGCAGTTGTATAGCAGGTTATTATGAATTAGCTTTTACATGTTGGTTTTTGTGGTATGTAATTTGTTATATCAGATACCTATTTGATGACTTACATGTTCTAATTTTAGGACTCTGATGAAATCAAAAACATACTTGTTAAATTATGCCTTGTGATGCCATTTCAAGGACTGTATTAGGGTGAAATAAACTGCCTTCAAATTAGTTAGCTTAATATCAGGGATTTTACCAACAAAAGTTAATTTAAACAATTAAAAAGTTAATGATAAAAGTATGCTTCATTCACTGCATGATCTGGTTCTTCTTCTTTTAATTTATCTGTTTTAAAAACTTTAGCATAAAAAAATTGGAAATAAAATAAATATTACACACCAAAATTAACCAGAACGAACGTCATACAGCTCAGTGAACAGCTGGAGTAGTATTCTGAAGCTGCAAAACTTCACATTGGGTTTTAAACTTTGATTACTAAATGTATTTTTACAAAAATAAAAAATATATGGCAGAATTAGAACTAGAAAAATAGATTTATATCCTCTGTCATGACCTCTATCCAACAACTGCATTAAGTCCTTTTACAAAAAAAAAA